CCTACTATCTCTGTAACAAACCTGGAATCAGCCTAGTTGACCCTTTGCCACACTACCTCAATGGCAAGTATATCCTTTCATTAATTGCTTGCTGTACCTGCCTGTCTACTTCCATTAGCTGATGCAGATGGACACCCAGCTTCCTTTGTTTGTGCTTACTTTTCAATATAGTAAGATTTAAAAAATACTCTTCCTTCCCGTTTTTCAAGTTAAAGTGTTTAGCTTCACGTTTAGCCATGTTGTACTTCATCTGTCTTGTGTTTGCCACTCAACTTGTCTAAATCACCTTGCAATTTTACATCCTCCTCATGATTCATAAATATGCCTAATTCTGTGTCATCAGCTAATTTGGAAATGTTGCATTTGTTTCCTCCATCCAGGTCATTTCTATATATTGTGAATAACTGTGTCCCAAGCACTGACCCTACAAGTCATAGTCTGCCACCCAAAAAAAAGGCCCATTTATCCCCACTCTCTGTTTCCTGTCTATCGGTCAACCCATTCGTAATCCGTGCTAATACATTACATTGGCCCACTAACCTCCTCCGAGGAACTGTATCAAAGCTTTCCAAAAATGCAAATACACCACATCTACCGGTTCTCCCTTACTTAGCTTTTCTCCCTTATTTTTATGCCAGACAAGAATGAACAATTGTTGTAATTCATGCACATGAATTATTTAAATATGAACTGTTACCTATCCACTGTCAACTGTAAGGTTCCCCAAACCATCCTTGCCAATTCCTACTCTCATGGTTCCCTGTATTTACATTCAGAGTCATGTCAGAAAACAAATCTAGTTAGCCACTAACTCTCACCCAGGTTTACTATTTCTGAATAATATTTCAAACGTGACACTGAAATCAATGAATTGGAGCTGCCACGTTCACACATTGAAATGTAAGTATGAAGAAAGTGGTTGTGTTCAAGGTTGGGATATTTTTGGTGTTGGGGGGAGTCTATCATAATAGATTAATGCCAGAATTTCACTCCCTCAGTGTAGCATGAACGGTTTAGTTCTGCAACGTACATTTGGGAAATGTTATGTACCTCAGAGTTCCCTACTGAGGCATGACACTGGCCTGTTTGTGAAGTGCCACAGCACACTGCATCAGGGAATAACATGAGGTATCATTGTGATTGGTTTGGGGGTTCAGGCATCAATGAAACAGTGTTCCCTTGTTGGCATTTCCCACAGATGATCAGTTCATGTGTTTGAAAGGGGCATCATTGTTGCTGGAGTCCTTATGGTCTTGCTGTGCAGGCGAACATAGCATCAAAGGAGAGAGCAATTAGATCAGCATTAGTAAGCTCAGCAATACCAACAATCTGCAGTTGGAGAAGCAGCAGGAAGCACAATGCAGACACAGATTATCATCACCAAACTCTACCATTTACTGGAGCAGGTCTTGGTTTCGAAGGGACTGACTGGCAATCCCATCCCAGTAGCTATCAAGGTTTCAGTTACCTTGAAGTTCCATGGCAATAGCTTGTTTCAACGAGCAACCAGGGACCTGTGTGATATCTTCTGATCCTTAACCTGAGTTATTTCCTTTGAAGCTGAGAGGGGTGAGTGGGTAGCTGATAGAGATGGATAAGATTGAGGGGCATGGACAGAGCAAATAGAAAGCAGCTGTTCCCCTTAGTTGAAGTGTTGATAACAAGGGGGTGTTGTTTCAGGGTAAAAGGCAGGAGATTTAGAGGGGAGTCCAGGAAAAAAGGTTTTCACCCAGAGGGTGGTGGGGGTCTGTCTGGGAGGGTATTTGAGGCAGGAAACCTCACAACCCTTAAAAAGTACCTGGATGAGCTTGAATGCCAAAACTTCAAGGCCATGGGACTAGTGCAGGAAATTGGGACTGGTGTTGGTTCACTATAGCTTTGGCTGTACAGGCAATTGGGCAGAAGGCCTCTTCTGTACTGTATGATTCTATGATTCTAAGCTGCAAATATATCCACGATGTCACTGATGCCATTTTCTCCAGATTACACCGCTTCCATCCTTCCCCTTTCATGAGAAGATCAAACAGACCCGACATTGGGATTCTCCATGATTACTAGGCTTCCCATGGACAGGTTGTTTTTGACTGTTCTGACTGTTTTGACCAGTTCTGAGGGAAGGGTCACTCGACCCAAAACATTAAATCTGTTTTTTCCTTCACAGGTGCTGTCAGACCTGCTGAGCTTTCCAGCAACTTTGTTTTTGTTTCTGCTTTTGACTGGACCCTGTCATCAACCTGCAGTGTCTGTGACTATTCTTATGGACCAGGCCAGACCCCCTCAAAATATTTTAAGAAGGTAGCCTAGACCCTAACTTTTTCTTATTCTAAAGGTAGATGTGAAGTGAGTATTCCAGGTGTGATGCAACTTGTCAATCCACTCAGCTTTAAGAAAACCACAATTTATTTAAACACTACAATGGAAACATGACCTAACTTTTGGAAAACCTAACCGACCTGATACAGCAACTTAATAATTAACTGTTCCAATACAGCAACACCCGATAAACATAACCCTTGGCAGAGGGGTAAATTCAAACGCAGATTCTTACAGGCAGGAGGGAACAACATCCAGAGAGAGATTTCAGAGAAAGTCGAAGGAATCCTTTACTGAAGCTTGCAACCCTTCTGGTTCTCAAAACATTTTGTAACTGCTACAGCTAAAAAAAACTAGAGGAAACCTGAACTGGGAGAACTGGCCACTGCCCTTCCATTGTTAAACTTTTACTCCCTAGCCACTTCGCTGTCTCTGCCTTTACAACCTTTCTTCAAAAAAACCGAGGACAAAATAACCTTTCTACAGCGACAGCATCATTGCACCATTGATGCCATATTGTTGAGGTCTGTGCCAGATATCCTGGCAGCTGCTATGATGTATTGGTACTGAAGAGCTGACAGGTTCTTGATCCTTGAATGACAGCTGAGAAACAAAGCTACCCTCCAAACATGGCTCATCAGACCTTTACTAAACCGTCTCTGATGCAGCACTGCTCCTATTTCCAACAAAGCCATAGTGAGATAGACCATATACCTCCTTAAGGGGTGACGGTCTGTGGGGCCTTGCAGTATAGCCTAGAAAGGATGCTCCACACATCTTTTTAGCAGACTATGCCCTTCATAATTGGAACTGACAAACAGGGAGATGTCCTGGATGCAGAGAAAATGGAGGATCAGCTGTTACCTTTGAGGATGAAGCTGAGGATCAGGACATTGACTGGGATGGACATCTGAGAGATGTTGGAACAAGCCATTGTTGAGTAAAAGAAACTAGACAGAATCTCATTGAATCCTGCCTCCAGGATGAGTGAGCTGGATTTGGATGCCTTCCTACAGTGTTACTTAATAAGGGAAGCAGACCCTGGTCATATTTGCAGTCCATATACTTTTCTAGAGCTATATGAATTACTCCTTCTCAATTTAAGTGTATCTTTGAGTGATTGATTTTCAAGTATCTGCATTTTATAGGTCCATCTCACTGTTAGGGAAAAAGCAGTAATCAGTGAGGCAGAGCAGTAACATTGCATAATGCTCAGTTTTGGGATTTGTTAAGGTTACAGT